AGGTTCTGGAGGTAAGTTCTGGAGGTAAGTTCTGGAGGTCCGGTTCTGGAGGTCAGGTTCTGGAGGTAAGTTCTGGAGGTCCGGTTCTGAAGGTCAGGTTCTGGAGGTCAGGTTCTGGAGGTCAGGTTCTGGAGGTCAGGTTCTGGAGGTAAGTTCTGGAGGTAAGTTCTGGAGGTCAGGTTCTGGAGGTAAGTTCTGGAGGTCAGGTTCTGGAGGTAAGTTCTGGAGGTAAGTTCTGGAGGTCCGGTTCTGGAGGTCCGGTTCTGGAGGTAAGTTCTGGAGGTAAGTTCTGGAGGTAAGTTCTGGAGGTAAGTTCTGGAGGTAAGTTCTGGAGGTAAGTTCTGGAGGTCAGGTTCTGGAGGTCAGGTTCTGGAGGTAAGTTCTGGAGGTCAGGTTCAGGAGGTCAGGTTCAGGAGGTCAGGTTCTGGAGGTAAGTTCTGGAGGTAAGTTCTGGAGGTAAGTTCTGGAGGTAAGTTCTGGAGGTAAGTTCTGGAGGTAAGTTCTGGAGGTAAGTTCTGGAGGTAAGTTCTGGAGGTCGGGTTCTGGAGGTAAGTTCTGGAGGTATGTTCTGGAGGTAAGTTCTGGAGGTAAGTTCTGGAGGTAAGTTCTGGAGGTCAGGTTCTGGAGGTCAGGTTCTGGAGGTCAGGTTCTGGAGGTAAGTTCTGGAGGTAAGTTCTGGAGGTAAGTTCTGGAGGTAAGTTCTGGAGGTAAGTTCTGGAGGTAAGTTCTGGAGGTCGGGTTCTGGAGGTAAGTTCTGGAGGTCAGGTTCTGGAGGTCAGGTTCTGGAGGTAAGTTCTGGAGGTCCGGTTCTGGAGGTAAGTTCTGGAGGTAAGTTCTGGAGGTAAGTTCTGGAGGTAAGTTCTGGAGGTCAGGTTCTGGAGGTCAGGTTCTGGAGGTAAGTTCTGGAGGTCAGGTTCTGGAGGTCCGGTTCTGGAGGTAAGTTCTGGAGGTAAGTTCTGGAGGTCAGGTTCTGGAGGTCAGGTTCTGGAGGTCAGGTTCTGGAGGTCAGTTCTGGAGGTCAGGTTCTGGAGGTCAGGTTCTGGAGGTCAGGTTCTGGAGGTCAGGGTCTGGAGGTCAGGTTCTGGAGGTAAGTTCTGGAGGTAAGTTCTGGAGGTCAGGTTCTGGAGGCCAGGTTCTGGAGGTCAGGTTCTGGAGGTCAGGTTCTGGAGGTCAGGGTCTGGAGGTCAGGTTCTGGAGGTCAGGTTCTGGAGGTCAGGTTCTGGAGGTCAGGTTCTGGAGGTAAGTTCTGGAGGTAAGTTCTGGAGGTAAGTTCTGGAGGTCCAGTTCTGGAGGTCAGGTTCAGGAGGTCAGGTTCTGGAGGTAAGTTCTGGAGGTAAGTTCTGGAGGTCAGGTTCTGGAGGTCCGGTTCTGGAGGTCAGGTTCTGGAGGTCAGGTTCTGGAGGTCAGGTTCTGGAGGTCAGGTTCTGGAGGTAAGTTCTGGAGGTAAGTTCTGGAGGTCAGGTTCTGGAGGTCAGGTTCAGGAGGTCAGGTTCTGGAGGTCAGGTTCTGGAGGTCAGGTTCTGGAGGTCAGGTTCTGGAGGTCAGGTTCTGGAGGTAAGTTCTGGAGGTCAGGTTCTGGAGGTCAGGTTCTGGAGGTCAGGTGCTGGAGGTCAGGTTCTGGAGGTCAGGTTCTGGAGGTCAGGTTCTGGAGGTCAGGTTCTGGAGGTCAGGTTCTGGAGGTAAGTTCTGGAGGTAAGTTCTGGAGGTCAGGTTCTGGAGGTCAGGTTCTGGAGGTCAGGTTCTGGAGGTCAGGTTCTGGAGGTCAGGTTCTGGAGGTCAGGTTCTGGAGGTCAGGTTCTGGAGGTCAGGTTCTGGAAGTAAGTTCTGGAGGTAAGTTCTGGAGGTCAGGTTCTGGAGGTCCGGTTCTGGAGGTAAGTTCTGGAGGTCAGGTTCTGGAGGTCAGGTTCTGGAGGTCAGGTTCTGGAGGTAAGTTCTGGAGGTAAGTTCTGGAGGTCAGGTTCTGGAGGTCAGGTTCTGGAGGTTAGGTTCTGGAGGTCAGGTTCTGGAGGTCAGGTTCTGGAGGTCAGGTTCTGGAGGTCAGGTTCTGGAGGTCAGGGTCTGGAGGTCAGGTTCTGGAGGTCAGGTTCTGGAGGTCAGGTTCTGGAGGTCAGGTTCTGGAGGTCAGGTTCTGGAGGTAAGTTCTGGAGGTAAGTTCTGGAGGTAAGTTCTGGAGGTCCGGTTCTGGAGGTCAGGTTCAGGAGGTCAGGTTCTGGAGGTAAGTTCTGGAGGTAAGTTCTGGAGGTCAGGTTCTGGAGGTCCGGTTCTGGAGGTCAGGTTCTGGAGGTCAGGTTCTGGAGGTCAGGTTCTGGAGGTCCGGTTCTGGAGGTCGGGTTCTGGAGGTCAGGTTCTGGAGGTCAGGTTCTGGAGGTAAGTTCTGGAGGTAAGTTCTGGAGGTCAGGTTCTGGAGGTTAGGTTCAGGAGGTCAGGTTCTGGAGGTCAGGTTCTGGAGGTCAGGTTCTGGAGGTCAGGTTCTGGAGGTCAGGTTCTGGAGGTAAGTTCTGGAGGTCAGGTTCTGGAGGTCAGGTTCTGGAGGTCAGGTTCTGGAGGTAAGTTCTGGAGGTAAGTTCTGGAGGTCAGGTTCTGGAGGTCAGGTTCAGGAGGTCAGGTTCTGGAGGTCAGGTTCTGGAGGTCAGGTTCTGGAGGTCAGGTTCTGGAGGTCAGGTTCTGGAGGTCAGGTTCTGGAGGTCAGGTTCTGGAGGTAAGTTCTGGAGGTCAGGTTCTGGAGGTCCGGTTCTGGAGGTCAGGTTCTGGAGGTCAGGTTCTGGAGGTCAGGTTCTGGAGGTCAGGTTCTGGAGGTCAGGTTCTGGAGGTCAGGTTCTGGAGGTAAGTTCTGGAGGTCCGGTTCTGGAGGTCAGGTTCTGGAGGTCAGGTTCTGGAGGTCAGGTTCTGGAGGTCAGGTTCTGGAGGTAAGTTCTGGAGATAAGTTCTGGAGGTAAGTTCTGGAGGTCAGGGTCTGGAGGTCAGGTTCTGGAGGTCAGGTTCTGGAGGTCAGTTCTGGAGGTCAGGTTCTGGAGGTCAGGTTCTGGAGGTAAGTTCTGGTGGTCAGGTTCTGGAGGTCAGGTTCTGGAGGTCAGGTTCTGGAGGTCAGGTTCTGGAGGTCAGGTTCTGGAGGTAAGTTCTGGAGGTCAGGTTCTGGAGGTCAGGTTCTGGAGGTCAGGTTCTGGAGGTCAGGTTCTGGAGGTCAGGTTCTGGAGGTAAGTTCTGGAGGTCAGGTTCTGGAGGTAAGTTCTGGAAGTAAGTTCTGGAGGTCAGGAGGTACGTTCTGGAGGTCAGGAGGTAAGTTCTGGAGGTCAGGTTCTGGAGGTCAGTTCTGGAGGTCAGGTTCTGGAGGTCAGGTTCTGGAGGTCAGGTTCTGGTGGTCAGGTTCTGGAGGTAAGTTCTGGAGGTAAGTTCTGGAGGTCAGGTTCTGGAGGTCAGGTTCTGGAGGTCAGGTTCTGGAGGTAAGTTCTGGAGGTAAGTTCTGGAGGTAAGTTCTGGAGGTCCGGTTCTGGAGGTCAGGTTCTGGAGGTCAGGTTCTGGTGGTCAGGTTCTGGAGGTAAGTTCTGGAGGTAAGTTCTGGAGGTCAGGTTCTGGAGGTCAGTTCTGGAGGTCAGGTTCTGGAGGTCAGGTTCTGGAGGTCCGGTTCTGGAGGTCAGGTTCTGGAGGTCAGGTTCGGGAGGTCAGGTTCTGGAGGTCAGGTTCTGGAGGTCAGGTTCTGGAGGTCAGGTTCTGGAGGTAAGTTCTGGAGGTAAGTTCTGGAGGTAAGTTCTGGAGGTAAGTTCTGGAGGTCAGGTTCAGGAGGTCAGGTTCTGGAGGTAAGTTCTGGAGGTAAGTTCTGGAGGTAAGTTCTGGAGGTCAGGTTCTGGAGGTCAGGTTCTGGAGGTAAGTTCTGGAGGTCAGGTTCTGGAGGTCAGGTTCTGGAGGTAAGTTCTGGAGGTCAGGTTCTGGAGGTCAGGTTCTGGAGGTCAGGTTCTGGAGGTCAGGTTCTGGAGGTCAGGTTCTGGAGGTCAGGTTCTGGAGGTAAGTTCTGGAGGTAAGTTCTGGAGGTAAGTTCTGGAGGTCAGGTTCTGAAGGTCAGGTTCTGGAGGTCAGGTTCTGGAGGTCAGGGTCTGGAGGTCAGTTCTGGAGGTAAGTTCTGGAGGTAAGTTCTGGAGGTAAGTTCTGGAGGTAAGTTCTGGAGGTCCGGTTCTGGAGGTTAGGTTCTGGAGGTAAGTTCTGGAGGTAAGTTCTGGAGGTAAGTTCTTGAGGTAAGTTCTGGAGGTAAGTTCTGGAGGTCCGGTTCTGGAGGTTAGGTTCTGGAGGTAAGTTCTGGAGGTAAGTTCTGGAGGTAAGTTCTGGAGGTAAGTTCTGGAGGTCGGGTTCTGGAGGTCAGGTTCTGGAGGTAAGTTCTGGAGGTAAGTTCTGGAGGTCGGGTTCTGGAGGTAAGTTCTGGAGGTAAGTTCTGGAGGTAAGTTCTGGAGGTCAGGTTCTGGAGGTCAGGTTCTGGAGGTCAGGTTCTGGAGGTAAGTTCTGGAGGTAAGTTCTGGAGGTCCGGTTCTGGAGGTCAGGTTCTGGAGGTAAGGTTCTGGAGGTAAGTTCTGGAGGTAAGTTCTGGAGGTAAGTTCTGGAGGTCCGGTTCTGGAGGTAAGGTTCTGGAGGTAAGTTCTGGAGGTAAGTTCTGGAGGTAAGTTCTGGAGGTAAGTTCTGGAGGTAAGTTCTGGAGGTCAGGTTCTGGAGGTCAGGGTCTGGAGGTCAGTTCTGGAGGTCAGGTTCTGGAGGTAAGTTCTGGAGGTAAGTTCTGGAGGTAAGTTCTGGAGGTAAGTTCTGGAGGTAAGTTCTGGAGGTAAGTTCTGGAGGTCAGGTTCTGGAGGTCAGGTTCTGGAGGTCAGGTTCTGGAGGTAAGTTCTGGAGGTAAGTTCTGGAGGTAAGTTCTGGAGGTCAGGTTCAGCATGTGATGCACGTGCGCATTGTCAGGGCGGCCATGCGATGAATGCATCCAGAGAGATGAATGAGTTGAGTGCAGTGAGAGCATCGGTATGTGGTTAGTGCATTGAGAGAGATGCCATGAGTCGAGCACGTTGGCAGGCAAAAAAGGGTGGCGGCGAGCAACAAGGCGGAGAGGCACCCACCCGGCGAGCATGAAGAGGCGGGAGAGGCAGGCGAGGGAGAAGCGCGCGCAGTGGGTTGGCAGCGCTGCCGCAGCAGCCAGGGGCAGCGCGCTGGTGCGTGCAGCACACGCATCCAGCACTGCCACCAGCCGCTCCCTCTCCTGCACGGTTCAGATCAGAGGGGTCACGTGGGAGATAGAGCAGCAGAGGTGCAGGGGTGTTGCTGCACGTGGAGAAGATGCGAAGAGACGAAAGGTGGAGAGAGAAGGATGACAGGGAAATGGTGCATTGACAGATGGAATGACTTTGCTTGATAAATACACACCTAATCAAACAGTGCAGTGCAGTGGGCACCTTATGGGGGGCGTCATGGCAGTGGGCACCTTATGGGGGGCGTCATGGCAGTGGGCACCTTGTGGGGGGCGTCATAGCAGTGGGTGAGCACGCGGGTGCAGAGGGTGTCAAGGAAGAGCGCCTCCAGCATCTCATCCGCCTCCACCACCTCGCGAGTAAGCAGCTCCGACACTCCCCGTGTCGACCCCGCCTCCCCCGCCCACCCACTGCTGCCCGCGCCTCCTCCGCCCCTCCCCTCGCTGCCTGTGCCCCAGTCACTGCTCTCTGCCTCCCCCGCCCCCCTCCCAGCAGGCACGGCTGCTCCCCCGGCCCCTGGTGCCCGCCCTGCCCCGCTGCCACCGCCGCTGCCAGGAGCAGCTCTTCTCCGCGGACTGCCCCCTGCGCCCTCCCCTCCCCCCACTCTGGGGGAGCGTCGGGGGGAATGGCCTGGGGGTGGTGCTGGCGAGGGCTGGGGCGCCGGGGAGGGGAGGTCTGCGAGCAGGGTGGTGCCGCATGTGCCGAGCACGAACTGCTCCACCACCGCCGCCAGCTCCTGCCACATGCGCTGCCGTGCTCCCCCCCCCTCACTGCTGCCGCCCACTGCACCGTTGCCCTCCTTGGCAACTTCCTTATGTGGCTCATGCTGGTGCTTGGTGTGGTGGTGTGTGGAAGAGGCATGCGTGGGTGAGGATGGGCGTGCAGGAGGAGCCAGAGGGTCTGAAGGAGAGGTGTGATTGGCGTGTGTTGTGAGAGGGGGGTCAGGCGGGAGGGCGTGTTTAAGGATGTCTGAGAGCGTGGCCACGGCCGTGCGCCACAGCTGAAGGTCAGGCGAGGTGCGGCGGATGAGCATACACCTGTGGCGTGCAAGGGTGCAGCGGGGAGAACATGGTGGGAAGAACATGGTGGGGAGAACATGGTGGGGAGAACATGGTGGGGAGAACATGGTGGGGAGAACATGGTGGGGAGAACATGGTGGGGAGAACATGGTGGGGAGAACATGGTGGGGAGAACATGGTGGGGAGAACATGGTGGGGAGAACATGGTGGGGAGAACATGGTGGGGAGAACATGGTGGGGAGAAGCACGTGGTAAGCACGACGAGTGAATGAGAATGAAACGAATGGATAAGCAGAGATAACGAGGGCGCATCTGTTCCAACGATTGTCAGCAAAAAAGGCTGAAACTGTGTGACAGTCTCAATTCCAGCGCCCACTTGCGTCCACCCCTTGCTGCACGGCACGCATGGCCACATCACCTGCCGAGAGCAGCAACGAGGTCGGGCAGGACGGTGTCTCGGGCCTCTGGGGGCGCGTTGAGGAAGAGCTCCAGCAGCAGCGCCACCACGCGGTCCTGCAGTGCGGGTGAGAGGGCGCCGGGCGCCGTGACGGGGTAGCTCAGCATGAACGACCCCGTGGGGTTGCCTGATGTCGGCACGTACACCGCTGCTGGCGCAAACAGCTGCACCTTGCCGCCCAGAGATAGGCCGAATGATGTCGTCCGGCTGCTACTGCCGTTGCCGGCAGCTTGTGTGGCACCTCCTGCGTCCCCTCCTTGACTATCGATTTCCTCGCTGCCTGCTTCGCCCGCATCCCCACCATCGTTTCCTCCTCCCCCTCCTCTCCCTTCACCAACACCGCTGTCCCCTCCCGTGCCATCCACACCCCCTGCAACGCCACCCAGGGAAACCTTTGGGGCGTGGCGTTGCGTGGCCTCGGACAGGAAGCGCGGCGGCACGCGGCAGTGCGGGCAGAGCAGGCGGTCCCCGCCCGGCAGGTAGGCGAGCAGCTGCTGCAGCAGCGCGGGCCACAGATGCGCGTGCGCAGAGGGCTGCACGCGCGGCAGCACCTCCAGCACCGTGCGCTGCACCTGGGGCAGCGTGCCCTGGCAGCTCACATGGCCACGTGAAGGGGGGTATGTGGGAAGTGAGGAGGCAAAACGGAGGGTGCAGTGAGCAGCGGCAAATGACAAGGAGAAGGGCAGATTGGAGCGATAAGGCTGTTTGAAAACGAACAAAGCTGACACCAAGATGAGGTCAGTGGTGGACGCAGGTGCATTAATTGAAAGCACACAGGCGGGTGACAACACCGCATCACGGGCAAAGGGCGCATGCAGGGCGTACAGCGAGGGGAGGGGGTTCGGAGGGCAGCACGGGGCAGCGGGCCATGACGTCCACACAGGCGAGCAGGCGCAGGTAGTCGTCGTCCTCAAAGGCGAGGCCCGCCGTGCTGTACACCTCGCCCAGGTCCTCCACCAGCTTCTGCCGCGTGCGTACCGCCACCACGGACGCCGGCGCCGTGCTGTCGCGCAGCAGCAGCTCGTACGCGTCCATGCTGCTGTCCCAGTAGTGCCGCGGGATGCTGCCCTGCCTCCATGGCACGTGGGGGGTGGGTGGGGATGCGGTCACACATGCATCGCCATGGTGCATCAGATGGGGCAAGGCAGAACGGCGTGAGGTCAGCATGGAGTAGTGGGATGCATAGCCATAGCGCAAATAGCATAGTGTGAGCATGATGGTCACCTTGGTGGCATGTGTGAGCATGATGGTCACCTTGGTGGCATGTGTGAGCATGATGGTCACCTTGGTGGCATGTGTGAGCATGATGGTCACCTTGGTGGCATGGGTGAGCATGATGGTCACCTTGGTGGCATGTGTGAGCATGATGGTCACCTTGGTGGCATGTGTGAGCGTGATGGTCACCTTGGTGGCATGTGTGAGCATGATGGTCACCTTGGTGGCATGTGTGAGCATGATGGTCACCTTGGTGGCATGGGTGAGCATGATGGTCACCTTGGTGGCATGGGTGAGCATGATGGTCACCTTGGTGGCATGGGTGAGCATGATGGTCACCTTGGTGGCATGTGTGAGCATGATGGTCTGCAGGGTGCTGGCAGCAGCAGAACTGACTTCTCGGCTGCCGGTCAGCACGCCCTCCTCCACGAACTGCAGCAGTGCACCCCACACTGCCTCCACCATGGCATCGGGGGGGTGGGGGAGTGGGCATGGGGAGGCGGTTTGGGAGGAGCAAAGGGAAAGCTGGTGGAGAAGAGTGAAAAGAGAACATTGAGATGAAAGAGGCGGCCTTGCTTGCTGGTCTCACAAAGGAGGGGCGGGAGCACAAGGAACAGCTTCGCATGCAGTGCCAAATACTGATGCAGTGCACACCTTCCCGGAAGTTGTCCATGGTATGCAGCAGTGGGAAGAAGGCACGAATGAGGCGGGCAAGGCCGTTGAGCGCCATGACGAGCGTCTCATCCCACTGCTTCTGCGCCGTGTTGCGACTGTGGTGCACCAGCATCATCACACTCCTCCCCCCCTGCCGCCCTATTTCCGTCCCCGGCGCCTCGTCTCTCGATGCCGTGGCCGCCTGCAGGACACAAGAGAGGAGAGCAAAACATGCGAATGCCGGGTGCGTGACTGACAGGCATGTGGCTGCAGCTGTCTTGCGCTGTGACTGATACTGACTTCATTCACCGACCACCATTCACTACCATGGACTGGCATTGGAAGGCAATGGGAGCGCAGGGACTCACAAGGGAGCGCAGGGACTCACAAGGGAGCGCACGGAGTCGATGAGGGGGAAGATGAGGTCCCAGAGGCAGTGGCGCCACAAGGCGGGCGGCAGCTTGGCGCCGTGGCTGACCACCGTCTGGAACAGCGTGCGCATGGCCGCGTTGCGCACCTCCGGCCGCCCGTCCTTGGCACGCGCCTCCATCACACACAGCACCGCCAGCAGCAGTGCGCTGCTCCGCTCGTCCAGCATCCTCCCGCTGCCGGATCCCCTCCCCTGCCCTCCGCCCACCTCGGTCCCTTCACCCCCCTCTCCCCGTTTGGTCCCCCCTGCATCTGTGTGAGCTGGCTTTCTGTGGATCCTAGTGAAGGTGGAGGGTGTGGCTGACGCTGGCAGCTTCAGTGCCGATGCTGCTGCTGCTGGTGCCGTCGATGGAAGGGGCGTGGCAGAGGAGGCGGAGGAGAGAGGGGTTGCTGCGGAAGATGTCGAGGAGGAGGAGGAAGGATCGCACTGGTTGAGTAGGGTGGAAACTGGGGAAGTCGGGGGGTTGGGAAGAGTAAAAGAAAGCGTGAGGGAAGCTGGGAGCACTGTGTGTATGAGTGAGGGAGAAGCCTCCGCTTTGTCACAAAGTAGTGTCTCCTTTCAGGTACAGATGGTGCAAGCCTCAAAGCTCAGAAGAAACTCGTTCAGGGAGGGCTAACTCTTAGGCATGGACGCTTGCAACCTGAGAAGACGGTAGATTATGAGGCCCAGAACAGAGTCAGGTCCGGCATGTAACAGTGAGGTCAACGGCTTCGGAAAAATGAATTAGAAAGTCCAGGTAAGTCGTAGTGCAGTGGTCTCACAGGTGGCAGTGCGGTGTGTGGTGGTGGCATGGTCGAGGCCTCGAGCAAAGAAGTCAGCCATGGTCCAGAGCAGCCCCACGGACGTGAGAGAGATGTTCACATCCGCCACTTGCCCCGCAAACGCCCCCACCACCTCCACACACCTGGTGCGCAGAGACGGGGGCGATTGAAACGACAGGCATCATAAAAAGTTGCAAGATGTAGACAGCCATTGGTGAGCAGAACATGTGCAATCCAATCATGGGCAGCACTGCAGTGGAGCACGTTCGGCAAAGGGGGTCTGTTGCAACATGGATCAGTGGTGTGATGCATTGGTTGCGGTTGAGGGCGCACAAGAGAGACATGCAGGATGTGGCAGGGAAACTGAAACAGGCATGAGAGGAAGAGCATGAGATGTGGATGAGAGTAGGCACTATGGGCAGCATGACATGGCATGGCGATGTGCTGGAACGGCATGACAGAACCCGTTTCAAAACAGAATGACATGGATGCTGTGATAAAATGGCATTGCACGATGCCGTGTTGGAATGGCATGGAATGCCATGCATGATGTGGCATGACGACTGACAGTTGAAGGGTGTGAGGCGGAATGGAGGAGAGGCAGTCGTTGACCACCACCAGCTCACTCTGCATGCCACACGAGCAGTCAGAGACACACGATGATGCAACCTTCAAGTGCCTGCTAGACAACCAGCATAACTCGGCTTGTGGGCAGGCAAAGTGGTGACATGTGTGGACAGCGGGCACAATAAAGCAAGGAAGAAGGAGGAGGAACACATGTGCAGCAGGGCCCACCTGGAAGGCAAGGCCCACGAGGTCCTTGTCATTCGTCTCTGCTACCATCCTGCTTGTGCATGGTCGCAATGGCACGGCATGGCGTGGAATGGCGTGGGATTGCAATGGCATGGAATGGCAACAGCATGGCATGGCACAGTGTGGAATATATCACGATGGAAAGAGATGTCATGTTACCGTGGAGCCACAATGACATGAACAACGTTGGCCTTGGCACACGTCAATGAAAGGTCGAACAACAATATGCACTCATAATGCCTGCTGCTCATCAGTTGCCCAGCAACAGCACTTCCTGGCCCAAAAACGGCAATTTGTGGCACAGCAACAGAAGTGAATGACTGCAGCAAGCTCACCTTAGGAGGTGGAGAACAGTGGGCCATGTGGAGTGCAGCTTCTCCCCATGGCGCTGCAGACAGGCAGTGATGGGAGGGGCAATGCAGATGACTAGATGAGAGGGAGGATACAAAAAGGCATCAGCGATGGACAGCAAGAGATTGGTAGGGAGTGAAGGAGGAAGGGGAGAGGAGCAAGAAGAGAGAAACAGAAAGAGAGAACACCGCAGCTGCACTCCTTTTCACCGGTGCAGCCAGGCAATGGCCCTCCATACCAAGCCCACGCAGGTGGGGAATCAAGCAGCACATGCACACTGTGCTAATGGATTGTGCCGTACTCACCTCCAGCATGTGCAGCAGGATGCGCAGGGCGCCTGCCTTCACCTCTGCATCGTGCCCATCGCGCCACAGGGAGCTCACAGCGCCCACCACCATCTCCTCCAGCGCCACCTCTCCCCGCCCCTCCCCCTCGCCCTCCCCCTTCTGCCCCTCCCTCTCCTCGCCCCCCTCCTGTCCAACTTTCCGACAAACCTCCGCCCCCTGCTGCTCCTCAGTGGCCTGTGAAGAGGCTGCGGCGGTGGTGAGGGCGGAGGAGGAGGAGGTGGAGGAGCGGCGGTGCAGCGAGGGCGAGGAGAGGGCGGCCATGACGGCGCGGTCGATGGCATCCACCGCCACCGCCCGCACGCCTGCGCTCTCGTGGACGGACAGCTGGGCATGCACACATGGGAGGGACGGATGGGAGACAGACTCGGTCAAAGGGAAGAGCTGTAATACGAATACAAAGGAAGACAATTATGCTGGTCGAAGAGTCTTGTTTAAGGGGAGGGTGTGCACAATAGAGTGCAGCTAGATTTCTGAGCTGGATTGGAAGCGGCGCATACCTCGAGCAGGTGCAACAGGATGGCATCCCAGATAAGGTCCATTCCTGTAACGAGGCACAAGCGGACACGGTTCAGTGCAGGTGCATTCAGTTGAAGCGATGCGACCATGATCCACAGTGACTCTTATACTAAGAGATGAACCACACCTTGCTGCACCGCCCGCTCATACGCTGCACCGCCCGCTCATACGCTGCACCGCACGCTCATACGCTGCACCGCCCGCTCATACGCTGCACCGCCCGCTCATACGCTGCACCGCCCGCTCATACGCTGCACCACCCGCTCATACGCTGCACCGCCCGCTCATACGCTGCACCGCCCGCTCATACGCTGCACCGCCCGCTCATACGCTGCACCGCCCGCTCATACGCTGCACCGCCCGCTCATACGCTGCACCGCACGCTCATACGCTGCACCGCACGCACGCTCATACGCTGCACCGCCCACTCATACGTTGCACCGCCCGCTCATACGCTGCACCGCCCGCTCATACGCTGCACCGCCCGCTCATACGCTGCACCGCCCGCTCATACGCTGCACCGCCCGCTCATACGCTGCACCGCCCGCTCATACGCTGCACCGCCCGCTCATACGCTGCACCGCACGCTCATACGCTGCACCGCACGCACGCTCATACGCTGCACCGCCCACTCATACGTTGCACCGCCCGCTCATACGCTGCACCGCCCGCTCATACGCTGCACCGCCCGCTCATACGCTGCACCGCCCTGCTCATACGCTGCACCGCACGCTCATACGCTGCACCGCACGCTCATACGCTGCACCGCACGCACGCTCATACGCTGCACCGCCCACTCATACGTTGCACCGCCCGCTCATACGCTGCACCGCCCGCTCATACGCTGCACCGCCCGCTCATACGCTGCACCGCCCTGCTCATACGCTGCACCGCCCGCTCATACGCTGCACCACCCGCTCATACGCTGCACCGCCCGCTCATACGCTGCACCGCACGCTCATACGCTGCACCGCACGCTCATACGCTGCACCGCCCGCTCATACGCTGCACCGCCCGCTCATACGCTGCACCGCCCGCTCATACGCTGCACCGCCCGCTCATACGCTGCACCGCACGCACGCTCATACGCTGCACCGCACGCACGCTCATACGCTGCACCGCCCACTCATACGTTGCACCGCCCGCTCATACGCTGCACCGCCCGCTCATACGCTGCACCGCCCGCTCATACGCTGCACCGCCCTGCTCATACGCTGCACCGCCCGCTCATACGCTGCACCACCCGCTCATACGCTGCACCGCCCGCTCATACGCTGCACCGGACGCTCATACGCTGCACCGCACGCTCATACGCTGCACCGCACGCTCATACGCTGCACCGCACGCTCATACGCTGCACCGCACGCTCATACGCTGCACCGCACGCACGCTCATACGCTGCACCGCCCACTCATACGTTGCACCGCCCGCTCATACGCTGCACCGCCCGCTCATACGCTGCACCGCCCGCTCATACGCTGCACCGCCCTGCTCATACGCTGCACCGCACGCTCATACGCTGCACCGCACGCTCATACGCTGCACCGCACGCACGCTCATACGCTGCACCGCCCACTCATACGTTGCACCGCCCGCTCATACGCTGCACCGCCCGCTCATACGCTGCACCGCCCGCTCATACGCTGCACCGCCCTGCTCATACGCTGCACCGCCCGCTCATACGCTGCACCACCCGCTCATACGCTGCACCGCCCGCTCATACGCTGCACCGCACGCTCATACGCTGCACCGCACGCTCATACGCTGCACCGCCCGCTCATACGCTGCACCGCCCGCTCATACGCTGCACCGCCCGCTCATACGCTGCACCGCCCGCTCATACGCTGCACCGCACGCACGCTCATACGCTGCACCGCACGCACGCTCATACGCTGCACCGCCCACTCATACGTTGCACCGCCCGCTCATACGCTGCACCGCCCGCTCATACGCTGCACCGCCCGCTCATACGCTGCACCGCCCTGCTCATACGCTGCACCGCCCGCTCATACGCTGCACCACCCGCTCATACGCTGCACCGCCCGCTCATACGCTGCACCGCACGCTCATACGCTGCACCGCACGCTCATACGCTGCACCGCACGCTCATACGCTGCACCGCACGCTCATACGCTGCACCGCACGCTCATACGCTGCACCGCCCGCTCATACGCTGCACCGCACGCACGCTCATACACTGCACCGCCCACTCATACGCTGCACCGCCCACTCATACGCTGCACCGCCCGCTCATACGCTGCACCACCCGCTCATACGCTGCACCGCCCGCTCATACGCTGCACCGCCCGCTCATACGCTGCACCGCACGCTCATACGCTGCACCGCCCGCTCATACGCTGCACCGCACGCTCATACGCTGCACCGCACGCTCATACGGTGCACCGCCCGCTCATACGCTGCACCGCACGCTCATACGCTGCACCGCCCGCTCATACGCTGCACCGCACGCTCATACGCTGCACCGCACGCTCATACGCTGCACCGCTCGCTCATACGCTGCACCGCCCGCTCATACGCTGCACCGCACGCTCATACGCTGCACCGCCCGCTCATACGCTGCACCGCACGCTCATACGCTGCACCGCCCGCTCATACGCTGCACCGCCCGCTCATACGCTGCACCGCACGCTCATACGCTGCACCGCACGCTCATACGCTGCACCGCACGCTCATACGCTGCACCGCCCGCTCATACGCTGCACCGCCCGCTCATACGCTGCACCGCCCGCTCATACGCTGCACCGCACGCACGCTCATACACTGCACCGCCCGCTCATACGCTGCACCGCCCGCTCATACGCTGCACCGCCCGCTCATACGCTGCACCGCCCGCTCATACGCTGCACCGCACGCTCATACGCTGCACCGCACGCTCATACGCTGCACCGCCCGCTCATACGCTGCACCGACCGCTCATACGCTGCACCACCCGCTCATACGCTGCACCGCCCGCTCATACGCTGCACCGCACGCTCATACGCTGCACCGCACGCTCATACGCTGCACCGCCCGCTCATACGCTGCACCGCCCGCTCATACGCTGCACCGCACGCACGCTCATACACTGCACCGCCCGTTCATACGCTGCACCGCACGCTCATACGCTGCACCGCACGCACGCTCATACACTGCACCGCCCGCTCATACGCTGCACCGCCCACTCATACGCTGCACCGCCCACTCATACGCTGCACCGCCCGCTCATACGCTGCACCACCCGCTCATACGCTGCACCGCCCGCTCATACGCTGCACCGCCCGCTCATACGCTGCACCGCACGCTCATGCGCTGCACCGCCCGCTCATACGCTGCACCGCACGCTCATACGCTGCACCGCACGCTCATACGGTGCACCGCCCGCTCATACGCTGCACCGCACGCTCATACGCTGCACCACCCGCTCATACGCTGCACCGCACGCTCATACGCTGCACCGCACGCTCATACGCTGCACCGCCCGCTCATACGCTGCACCGCCCGCTCATACGCTGCACCGCACGCTCATACGCTGCACCGCCCGCTCATACGCTGCACCGCCCGCTCATACGCTGCACCGCCCGCTCATACGCTGCACCGCACGCTCATACGCTGCACCGCCCGCTCATACGCTGCACCGCCCGCTCATACGCTGCACCGCCCGCTCATACGCTGCACCGCCCGCTCATACGCTGCACCACCCGCTCATACGCTGCACCGCCCGCTCATACGCTGCACCGCCCGCTCATACGCTGCACCGCCCGCTCATACGCTGCACCGCCCGCTCATACGCTGCACCGCCCGCTCATACGCTGCACCGCACGCTCATACGCTGCACCGCACGCACGCTCATACGCTGCACCGCCCACTCATACGTTGCACCGCCCGCTCATACGCTGCACCGCCCGCTCATACGCTGCACCGCCCGCTCATACGCTGCACCGCCCTGCTCATACGCTGCACCGCACGCTCATACGCTGCACCGCACGCACGCTCATACGCTGCACCGCCCACTCATACGTTGCACCGCCCGCTCATACGCTGCACCGCCCGCTCATACGCTGCACCGCCCGCTCATACGCTGCACCGCCCTGCTCATACGCTGCACCGCCCGCTCATACGCTGCACCACCCGCTCATACGCTGCACCGCCCGCTCATACGCTGCACCGCACGCTCATACGCTGCACCGCACGCTCATACGCTGCACCGCCCGCTCATACGCTGCACCGCCCGCTCATACGCTGCACCGCCCGCTCATACGCTGCACCGCACGCTCATACGCTGCACCGCACGCACGCTCATACGCTGCACCGCCCACTCATACGTTGCACCGCCCGCTCATACGCTGCACCGCCCGCTCATACGCTGCACCGCCCGCTCATACGCTGCACCGCCCTGCTCATACGCTGCACCGCCCGCTCATACGCTGCACCACCCGCTCATACGCTGCACCGCCCGCTCATACGCTGCACCGCACGCTCATACGCTGCACCGCACGCTCATACGCTGCACCGCACGCTCATACGCTGCACCGCACGCTCATACGCTGCACCGCACGCTCATACGCTGCACCGCCCGCTCATACGCTGCACCGCACGCACGCTCATACACTGCACCGCCCACTCATACGCTGCACCGCCCACTCATACGCTGCACCGCCCGCTCATACGCTGCACCACCCGCTCATACGCTGCACCGCCCGCTCATACGCTGCACCGCCCGCTCATACGCTGCACCGCACGCTCATACGCTGCACCGCCCGCTCATACGCTGCACCGCACGCTCATACGCTGCACCGCACGCTCATACGGTGCACCGCCCGCTCATACGCTGCACCGCACGCTCATACGCTGCACCGCCCGCTCATACGCTGCACCGCACGCTCATACGCTGCACCGCACGCTCATACGCTGCACCGCTCGCTCATACGCTGCACCGCCCGCTCATACGCTGCACCGCACGCTCATACGCTGCACCGCCCGCTCATACGCTGCACCGCACGCTCATACGCTGCACCGCCCGCTCAT